CATGTACCTTTTAGAAATGATGGTTTCATCTGAGAATTACTACGAGATCAAGAATTTAATTAACCATTTTTGTATAATTTTCGTGTCTCTTGAGTTGGCAGACAGAAGTTGGCAATACCTGAAGATGAAAATGAAACGCGGAAAGCTTGAGAAAGACTTCCCGAATGCAAAATAATTCGATGATTTTAAAATATGAATGATTTCTAGTTCTAATCCATTTGATAAAGAGTTGTCTAAAATTATTAAACAAGCTGGCAGTGCAATTAAAAATACCGATTCCGACAGGCTAAAGCTGAACGAATGCTCATAAGCATACCATTTATGGAAGTCAAACTGCGTTGAAAATAAGAACGCTCTGTTTGTCAGTAAATTCCAGTACAGCCGTAGTCCAGCCCAGGACACTGGACGACAGGCGTCAATTTTGAGACTGTTCCGGTCATTCCGGGACGGTTGGTAGCCTTAAGGCCAACTCACACACAGACCGACCATTCCGACGTCATTCAAATTGAATACAAAAATAATTGAAGAGTGTTCACACTGCGAGCGTACGAACCGACTTTCGAATTGGCAAATCGACCGACAGGCGACATGTGCAATTCCGTCGAAGCGACTGACCACACATCGACAGCCTGTCGTTTTCGGTTTGAGCGGTGACCTTAATTTTTATTGGATCTTGGCGTGTAACGTTTATCTGTGTAGTACCTGTACTGGTATTGCTGTCTTAAAAGGCAGGTTTCAGTACCATTGTGGGCAGTATTATGAAAGCGTTTGTAAGCAATGAACAGACGATTTGCTTTTATACCTACTGCGAAAAAGACGGAGGCGCCGCATGAGACTTTACTGGCTTGGTCCACCCCATACTCCAAAAAAGAAATAATTTAGGTGAGTTGTTTCAGTAGTTACTATCACTCTCAATTTTAAAGTATCTCTAATTTATTTTAAATTTGATATGCCATACCTGTTTTGTTACGGTGCCTTTACTTCACAGGCACATATACAAATACATGAAGCTCAAATATTTCATTTAACAGGTGAATTCAAACGACTTGTGAAAGAGATAGAAAGAGAATCTCGTTTCTTCCATTACTTCAGATTGTCTCCGGAAAAGTTTAGTTTGTCCGACTCATAGGCCCAAAGATTGCCAGATTAGACACAACTTCTGAACTTGGAGAAATTCAATATCAGCTGAACAAAGGCTTGCAATAACATTGAGGCAAGATCATCATTGTACTGAACGCTCAGCCATTTCAGTATTCAAATATTTAGATCAGCAGAATGGCTAGCAGAAAATTATAAAACTGTAGTTTTATCCAGGATCGGTTTGAGCGGTGACCTTGATTTTTATTGGATCTTGGCGTGTAACGTTTATCTGTGTAGCACCTGTACTGGTATTGCTGTCTTAAAAGGCAGGTTTCAGTACCATTGTGGGCAGTATTATGAAAGCGTTTGTAAGCAATGAACAGACGATTTGCTTTTATACCTACTGCGAAAAAGACGGAGGCGCCGCATGAGACTTTACTGGCTTGGTCCACCCCATACTCCAAAAAAGAAATAATTTAGGTGAGTTGTTTCAGTAGTTACTATCACTCTCAATTTTAAAGTATCTCTAATTTATTTTAAATTTGATATGCCATACCTGTTTTGTTACGGTGCCTTTACTTCACAGGCACATATACAAATACATGAAGCTCAAATATTTCATTTAACAGGTGAATTCAAACGACTTGTAAAAGAGATAGAAAGAGAATCTCGTTTCTTCCATTACTTCAGATTGTACTGAACGCTCAGCCATTTCAGTATTCAAATATTTAGATCAGCAGAATGGCTAGCAGAAAATTATAAAACTGTAGTTTTATCCAGGATCTATTCTTGGATTGCTTTATCTTGTAGGCAAAGTTCGTGAACTTTTGGTCATGCAGCTAAGTAATGTTTATCAATTACAGTTTAAAATTTGTGTAGTCATTGTCTATGAACTTACTTTTTTTTATATTTGAAATAAGCTTAAAACAGTGCTGATTATAGTTACTTGACCTTCCCGTTGTTTAAAGTCAGTGGAGTTTTTACTCTTATCAATAAGTATTGATTAAGTAGTGAGGATTGAGAATCTCATGATTTTTCTGCTTATGATTGTTATTAGCACAAATCGAATCTATATTTTGCTTCCAGGTTTCTTGGTACTGGGGATGCATACCGGACAATTGGAACATCATACAGAGTCGGATGGTCTACAATTACAGGAATTGTTCCGGACACATGCAAAGCTATGTATGATGTTCTCCAGCTCCTGATGGAAAGCATGTGATAATACGCTCACCAGCTAATTCAGGCTCAAAATACTTCAACTACAGGGGCACATTCAGCACCAGCACCGTGTTGCTCGCTGTTTTGGATGCAGAGTAAGTGTACTAAATGTGCCAAGTCTAAAAAATGTATTTATCGTTTTTTCAACACAAACAGTTTTCTACCATTCTTCTATGACATTTTGTTTTGCAAAATTGATATCTATTTCCACATGAAACTTGCATAAAATTTACTCGCAGAAGTTTGGGTAATTGCACATCGAAAATATCATGCAAAATCATGTTGAACAATTTTTCTAAGCTAGAATCAAATTTTACAAACTAAAAAATTCTGAGCAAACTCTTTTACTTTGAAAAACTTGTCAACGAGTTTATTAGTTACAGTTGCAAGTTTAGACGCATCACCGTTGGTGGTTATGAAAAACAGTCAGATGGTGATACTTATGCATACTGTAAATTGCCACATGCAATCAAGCATAATGCGCAAAGCATACGAGACCCAAAACCTTCGCCTGGACAAATGGCAATTCCATCCCCCACGTTTTTGTGGCCGATGCAGCTTTTCCACTCAGCGTTCATCTGATGGGGCCTTATCCTGGAAAATGCCTTTCAAAACTATAGACTGTCAGGAGCAAGAGGAACTGTTAAAAATGCGTTCGACATTTTTTGTCAACGCTTTCGTTTTTTTTAAGACCGATTACAATATTACCTCACGGCGTAGATATTGTTGTAAAAACTGCTTGTTGCTTACATAATTATCTACAAGTAAGTGACAAAAGAATTGGAGGTGAAGATAACATGGCGGACTCAAAAGTGCTGGATGGCATGACACGAACGGGTTGCAATGCATCTACTGCCGCACTCAGTATATGCGAACATTTTATGTCACCAGTCGGTTCACTGTCTTCGCAGTATTCTTTATTTCATTAAGTCGTTGAATAAAAAATATATTCACATTGTGCAAACGTTTTTGCGTAAGTTACATCAGTAAATTTCTTCAGATAATCCTAAAAATTGGTTAATGCTAAACAGGTGCATTTTTACTATGTGGCATGTGCCCTGCGAAAGACTTCTAGGCTCTCAGGTAATAGCTTACAGTTTCCACTTTGCATATTGTGAGCTGTTCACCAAAACCTGTTTTAGACAGACTTTTAAAAACAGATGACTTTAATTTTCCCCGATATCTATCAACAAGCATTTTCAATACAAGATTTTAGCTTTTGACAACCAACATTCCACTTTACAAACTGAGTCCTCCGTAGTATTCAGCGTCATGAATAATTCTTTGAATCTCACATTTCAAAAGCGACCTGTTTTTTTCATTGAGACTTCGGTGCCAAAACGACAGCCTGCCCGTTTTCCCTCATCGACCAATAGTCGGATCAGTAGGTATGTTTGTGAATGTGACGATGGTCGGCGTCGAAACGATTTGTCGGTCGGTCGTATTGGTCGATTTGTGTGTGAGTCAAGCTTTAGACTGGCAGTTGCCAAACTGTATTGGAAGCATTGATGGAAATCACGTTGTGATACAAGCTTCTGCAAATACTGGTTCATGTTTTTTACGTATAAACTTGAAGTTTCAGATGCAAAATATAGGTATATATTCGTGGACAAAACTTGCATATGGTTCATTAGACCTGCAAATCAACATCTTGTTGAAAGAGATTATGGAGCCACTACTATATGTTTGTCTCTCCAAATGTCGGCGCTTATGTTGCGACTGGTATGTGACAATGCACTGCTACTCGTGGTTTGCATCACATCGGGTGTGCTGCGCTGCAATTGTGTGTACACGATTGCGTAAAAGAGGGCTCTTGCTGTTGCACGTCAACTTGTGCAACACATAAAACAATCGTCTCGTACTTTGAATGAAATGGGAACATCGTATGAGGACACACGATTCAGTGATAAACTACATTTTATTCGATAATGGATTGTCCTACTGGGGTTCCACGTACGACATGATTGAAAGACTGTGTGTTTACCAACGGTCCATAAGACAATATTTGTCAACCATTCATCGCGATCGGGTTGCCAAATTAGAACTTCGTGGCGCTCGTTGGCTGATAATTTAGAAGCTTGTCGAGTTACTAGCCTATATAAATATCCCAACCAAGTTCGTCCAGGGAGACGAATATTTTTTCCTGTCCCCAGTATAGCCAATAGTTAAAGAGTTTGCGCAATAAATATCGAGAAATAATGATAGTGATGGAGCCTTTGAGGGTAACTTCAACATTAATATAACCTCATCATTCACTACGTTTACATGGCGACGATTATCGTGCCAAAACCGTATTTTGAGCGAATCGTGTTCATGTAAACACTTTGGTTCGATGGCCAATCATGACTCAGCGTGTTTGCATCGTGATATCCCAACACGATTGCACAGGGTAGATTAGAGCTGACACGATGCTTTCCTCGCACGCGCGAACAGGTTTTGCAAGTGTAGTTTAGGTCTATAGTGTTGCTCGCTTGCTCTGCGTGAAATGTGTGATACCGGTACCGGTACTGCCACAGCGCTTCCGTTGGCAGAAAGTTTTGGCTTTTTTAAAAGTAATTTTCGATTCTGGATGAAATTCTCCACCATCAGAATTGTTAGTCTTGGATCCGTCGAAGTCAAAGGGAACAACAGTTTGTTACCGGTACTGTGTCGTGCGCGAATTGCCGAATTCTAGTACTGGTACCAGGGTAAGTGTGGAAGTTGACCGTATAATGTAAATATGAATAACATGATTATGTTATTCATATTTATCTTTATAATACTATCGCAATCAAGCATTACAGATACTGGTACGGTATGCAATAGAAAGTAAACAACTGAACAAAGAGAAAGGACTTTCAGTTTAGTACACAATACACCTTATAATGTAATTAGGCAAATTACTGTATACAGTCTGACAGTAGGTTGTTGAGAGTAACCGCAAGTACCATGAGTATAGTGCAGTACCACGTCAGGAAGAGATTTTTATTTGTCTTTATAAATCATTTCATTGCATATTTACAGTCGAATATATTGCCTGCTATGCCAGTACAGCAGTATGCCTGTACAGCTGTATGCTGATTATGAATTTAATATGCTTATAAATGTATAATGTTACCTAGTGCTGTAATGCTGGTAGATAATAGGCATATATATGATCTACGGATAGACTTACCATTTATATGAAACAAAGACCTGGACATTGCAAAATTAAACAAACCTTGGTACAATACCGAGGATTTGCAATATTCAAATCATTGGAAAATGTGCGATTTATTCCGCAGTTTTGAATAATCTAACGACAGTTCAGCCATTGTCAAGATGTTAAGTTGGTGTATTGATTGTATACTAAATGCTGAAATGTAATATCGCAATATAGTAATTCTCACTGGACTAGTAACTGTCAACTGTAGTAAAGTAAGTTGTAAATCAATTGGGGATAAATTGTCTGCCTCGGTAAAAAAATAAATTTATTTCAAAGAGTTATATAATTTATTGCCCATATAAATCAAACTCTCAGCACAGTAGCGTATTCAGTTCACTGATTTATATTTAGTTAAAAGTTACCATAGAGAATTAGTATTATTTTGTTTACGAGAAAAATGGAGCCTGCATCTACTCTTAAAACTAAGTGGGAAGGCAGCGAGATTAAAACAATGCTTGGCATTGTCCAAGAAATGAATTTGGTTGGTCTGCTTGACCAAAAGAAGTCCAGGTCAGAAGTTCTGTACAAAGAGGTTGAGAAACAGTTGACAGCAAAAGGATATGAAAAAAGGTTTGAGAACACCATTGTTATGTTATTAAGTGGCAGCCTATTGATTCCAAATTTCAGAAAAATGTGTTGGCTTTTTAGCAAAATATCATCATTTACAAAGTATGTTCAATTCTAGTGACTAGCAGTTTGTTTTCAGCTTTTAATTTGGCTAATTGAAGAAAGGTGTTCTTCCATTTGTAGTTTCCAACAAATACGTAATAAAGTCAAGGCGTTGCGTTCCAATTTCAACAAGATAGTACGTCTGAATTCTGTCAGTGGGGCGGCTCACAAAACATGCGAGTATTACGATGAGCTCTATGAAATTTTCGGCCATCGTCCAGCAGTTGATTATACCCATATGGGAGTCAATTTTGGAATCACCAACACGGTGTCACTAGGTAACTACTTTTCTTTATTATTTTTGATTTATGCAGTTGAATTCTACATTTTTTCCTAATTTATGTGCATACTATCATGCTGATGATTTTTATTTCAGAAATCGAGGAATCACAGAATGAAATGCTTTTTAGCACACCAGAAGATCAAGGTATGTCTTCTGGAGTAGTTCAGTCTAAAATGCTATGAAATAAACTCGTATATTTCTACATGTTAGCCAAAAGTGGACCTGTCTCAATATTTGACTGCTAAGGATAGTCGCATTAATCAACTGGTCTCTCATTCGCTATCAAGTCCATGTGCCTGCAACATTCCCATACCCGACATGAACTGACATCCAGCCATATGATTACGCCGTCTTATTGGCTTTTCTCTGTCTGTGGATAAACATAGAAATTAGATTAATATCTACCATGCTCTTTCATGCACATAATGTTAATTGAATTGTTTTGCTTAGATGGTGAAGAAGGGGCAACGTCATGCTCAGGTGCTGAAGAAGGGGCAACTTCCAGTACCGACATTTCATCTAATTATGGCGAGAATTCAGATTCTGGTATGTATGAACATATATATACTTAAATATGTATAAAAGGTCCCAAATGACTAAGTCTTACTCAATCATGTATCTGTAAAACTTTGATAAAGAACTGGGCCTTATCTAGCTTGGAAAACTTAACTCTCTTATGCCACTATGCAGGAAAAAGACATTCTGTTGACTTGGAAAGCTTTTTCGAAAAGCAACGAATATGGGAAGAAAATATGATGCGTGAACAAATGGAAGCTCATGCCAAATTATTACGAGAGGCTGTGCAAGAGATGGGATCGGTATTTTCTGCATGCGTTTCACAGCTTTCGAAAACTCAAGGTAAATGCACATAAGTTTTGTACACGCATGAATTTCAAGTTCGTCTTGTCGATACCGCACCCCTTGACTATATGAGAGTTAGCTGGTTTTGAATCATGGGGCCTGAACTCGAGTGTTAACTATTATTGTACTGAACATATACGATCGCCATTGTATATATGGTTATGGAAATCCTATTCTTTTATGTTTCTATTGCACACACTCCTGCTTCAAAGAGCGCACATAATCCGAAGACTTTTTTATCTGTTTAAAATTTCTTTTAAGACACCAACAAATGAATCTCAAGTTTACTGGGCCACAACAACCATACTCAAGTGTCGAAAATGCGTTTATTCTCAAAATGACAAATTGAAATTGGTGCATGCTACAATAAATATAAAAACCAAAACAATGTTCCACTTATGTGCAGAGTCATCTAAAGTAAAAGGCAAGTTCGTTAAGATTAGTGAACAAATCCTGCTGAATTAATTGCAACTGACAGGTGAAAAAATGTTCAAAAAAGTAATATTGTTAGTCTCATTGAGAATCAAATAGGGAAGTAACTACAATGAACTTTTTCTCAAAGGAAAATTTTCCTCCAAAAAGATTCTCAATGCCTCCCTATTTTGTACTGCTTCACTGCAATTGCTGGCCGCTGATCTACGTTCCGGCTGTGGTTGGGCAACATAAGTTTCATTTGACCATCTTCCTAGAAATACATCTTTCCTTTTTTCACATATATTGTGCAGCACACAGCATGTTGCGACAACCTTTGGCATAAACTTGTAGCTAATGTCGCATCTTTTAGATAGACATCTCCATCTGAATATAATATTAATTAATAGATTTCCTTTCAATAGTGTTTGTCCTTTCATTGAATTAGTTGTAATAGGTCTTTACCTGCTTTTGAGTCGTCCAAATGCATGTTCCACCACATTGCGTGCAGATGAAAGATACACATTAAAAGACTCTTCAGATGGATTTAAACTTCCAGAGTAACCTTTCATGAGCCATGTTTGCAAAGGGTATGCTGGATCGCCTAGTATCATCAGCGGGACGTCACAATTTTGAATTCGCTTTATGGTCTGTAAAAAAATATTATAACTACTGTTGTGACCCTTTTGAAATGAATACAACGTGCTTGTTACCGAAGGAAGACTTCCTGCCACAGCAAGCTTGTACAGCGAAGAATTTTTCAGTACTGTTGCATCATGCACACTTCCTGGCATTGAACAAGATATATCTCTGAATCTGATTGAAAATAACTTTAAATAATTAAATATGCATTTGCATCAGTTTAGTTTATACTCTAACGATGAACTTCTAGAAACTGACATTACAACTAATCATCAGGATTTTTAGCTGCTTGGGTGTTTTTCATATTAAGCCTGCTTTCTGTAAAGAATACCTCACTTAACTCTATATCTCTCTTACTTACATGCATCTATCATCTACAACAGCCTGTAATATTATAGATGGCCATCCTTTGCGATTGGTAAAATCTCTATAACCTGTCTTTGGCGGTAAAATAGGAATGTGAGTTCCATCAATCGCCCCATATACATGCGGAAAACTGTGGACTTTGAAAATTCGTTCACTGATTTCAATAGCTTCAATATCTGATGGAAAGGCGATATGTTGTTTTGCAATATAATCGGTGAAAACCCTGGCATGAAAATTTTAAAAATGAGTAGTTACATAACCAATGACTTGCTAAATATTGAAAGCCAAGAACTACCTGCAAAATTGATAAACACAGGCATGCACTGTGCATTTTGCAATCCCGAATATATTTGCAACCACCCTGTATTCACAGCAACTAGCGAGTTTGTATAAAGCCACAGCAACCCTTTTTTCCACTGGCAAAGGCGGTCTAACCCAGTTCTGTTTTGGTGACATATAGGGTCTGACTTGTTCCACAATGTATTGAAATGTACTCCAGGATACCTTAAAAACAAAATTTTCTTATTTTAAAAAATTCACATCAGTTCATTTATAACTTGGATTTGATAAAATTAAGTACATATAAAATTTCCTTAAAAAGTCTTAAAAGAGGTAAATCTGTAAATTTACCCGGAAATTTTCTATCCAATCTTCATTGCCAAAATGCTGATTTACGATTCTATCCCACCATTCTGAAGTTCGTGTCTTTTTCCAAAATCTTCGCTTTCGACGTCTTTTCTTCGTAGGTGTACAAATACAATAAACTTTTTTCAAAAAATTGAGCCGGCTACGCCTCAGCATAACCTGACATAGCTTAAATCTTTCATTCATCAGAAACAGCATTATTAATTGCATCATTCGAATCGTAATCAAAGTGGGCAGAACCTGAAAATAACAATATGATGATGGTCAATATCTCTTGCTGCTGTGAGCAAACATATCACCTCCATGGCAAGATCTTATGGATGATGATTCGTCCACCACGAAAATGCCTTATACTGTTATAGAATACACGGTATATGCAGTAGCGAAATCATAAAAACATCAAGTATCCTTTTGGTATTTTGAATAAATATCATAAACTCATCCAATAAACATCAAAAAATAAATATTTTAAATCCTTCACCTGAGACAAATCCATGTTCTTCTTTTTTGTTCCATTCAGTAGCAAATAACCATTTACAGTACTTTCTTGTATAATTATTAACTATGAAGTGCAGAAACGTTACCGTAACAATTGCTTTTCAATGAATGTCTGCATAGAATTTTAAATACAAATTCAACGCCCTATGCTGTAAGCAGTTACCGGTGTTTCAAGGAACGTGGTGCAGAAGTAGATACCTGAAGTGGTATGCCAGATTAAGAACATTAACAACTTACCAAAATAAAATATAACGTTTTTATGTTTTTCTTAAAAAATAGCATTTAAAGTTATGAAGATGACTACTTAAAACCTTCAATATCTTGGTTAAATGTTTACATATATAAAAATTATAAAGTTGTATCCGGTTTGTTCCGAGGAATTCAAAAGAAGGAGTAAAACGTAAAACTGGTAACGAAATCTCATGTCAAATACGATAGTCTGAACGCGCGGGATATTTTTAACCGGATCGAAATTCAATGGTGTCCATGTAAACTCGAGACAAATTATGGCGTTCGATTGTCCGAAATACGATTTGGGAACGTTTTTTGCCGAAACGATTATCGTGTACATGTAAACGTAGTGATTGAGAGAAAGGTTCTACCGATTTGCTTAATTTCTCTTCGCCGTGGCCTCAAATGTGTTTTTTGAAGCTGCCTATCTCGATCCTTGATACAAAAAAAAAAAAATTTCCAAAGAGAAACAAATCTCTTCAAGAAGGCCATTTTGAGAGAAATGTCAGAATTTTTACTTCTAGAAGAACGCCCCACAGAAAGGTCAGGCTCGCCAACCCGTTTCAATTTTGGATCTTATATTTCCCTCACCAACAGTGAGCATCGAGGACGAAACTCGGACTGACGAAATAGCATGTTACCAACGACAGAAAGCGTCAGAATTGGGAAAATAAAGGTCACTGCGTTTCGGCTTCAAAAACATCAAGAGACTATCTTGCTATTCCATTCCAAGGTACATCAACTCATTCTGAGCGTTCAGTTCCCAGTAATGGCCTCATTGCATCCTAGTTGCGCTCTCGGCCGGTATACACGACAGTGTGCAAACTCACCGCACCGTATTTTCTTTGTTTGTTTTATTTTATTCGTCTGCGGTGATCTGCGCTGAGTTTATCTACGTTGGCGAACGCTCGAGTAGCGTTTTCTGAACGCAGTTCGCCGTACTGACAGTCTTGCTCCGCTCGTCTTGGTGGTTTCCAAAGGGAAACTGGTTGTTTTTCATGTGATAAGTGAAAGTTTTGAACTGTTTTCCTGGTTTTCGAGTTGGCTTTTATAACTATAGGCTTCAGAGTGTAGAAGTTCAGAATTACTAGAGCGATTTGTATCATCTGTAGATAGTAGTAGTACCTGCGGGTTCGGACATGGTACCGGTACCGGTACCTATCCGCCCATGGTAATTAATTTTGTGCTGGGTAGTGTGTTCTTATGGTTTACCACAATCTGACAATATCGTTAGACTACCGGTATTCAAATCATCGAACTTTCAGCAATTGAATAGGTGCGGTAGTCAGTTTTAATTTAATATGGAGGAAAAACTCATTGCTCTAGTTGAGGAATATCCTTGCCTGTATAATACCACACAGGACTCGTACCGCCGAAAGGATTTCAAAGGCAATGCTTGGGCAGAGATAGCTCGAGAGATGGGTATGCCATGTAAGTAGTCTGATTAGTGTAGTTAATTTTTTTAGACTTGGCCTATGGCTTGTCAGGAACTAGTCCAATTTTGCAGCAAATGAATTGTTTTATACTGCTGAAAATGATAGTAGCCTAATCGATGTAAATAAGCTAAATGATGACTAGATTACGAGGTATTGGTATTGGTTAATTTAGTTGAATCGCCTTTAAAGAAAGTGCTATGTTTTGCTACAAAGAACTAGTTTCGTCTTCATATTCTGTAAAGGGCAAGAATGCGAGAATAAGTGGAAAAACCTTCGAGATAAATATAGGAGGGAAAAGAAGAAAAGGGCAGAATTGAAATCTGGTGCGGCGGCAAGTCATCGGGTTGAGTGGAGCCTTATGAGATCCTTAGAGTTCCTTGAACCGTTTACAGCCATGAGGAGGTGGGTGTTTGAGGGTGTTTGAACAAGGAGCCTGCATTTTCTACATATTGTCAGTGTATCTTTTGATAATAAAGCTTTTACCAAGGAAAGGCTGTTAGTTTAGACCAGAATCGTGTTTTGTAGTTGACCAGGATATGCATAAAGGTAACTTTCAGGGTACCAACACTAAATAATGTACTATCCGAAGTTTATAAAAAAATTTTATTTTTGAGTATGGTATCTTTATCAATTTCCAAATTAGATTTCATATTAAAAAATATGAGGCAAAGAATTAGGAAATGTAAAAAATTATAGTTGTATTCGCTTTTCTGAAAAAATGCTTTTGAATTCTATACTATTATATGATCGAATATGCCATTCTTTTTTTAGCAGATGAAACAGACCAATTTCAACCACCTGTGGCAAAAAAGCGTAAAAGCAGCCGGGATGACCTCAGTGCTGTGTTAGAAAAATTGCAGCAGTCATCAGGTAAGTCAAGTCGAGCAGTGATTCTTATAAAGTGAATCGCGGTTCATAACTTGAATGCCTGGAAACCATCTTGAGTCGCTATTTCAATAAAATTGGCGCTCCCGTACGATGTTAACCAAGATGGCGGACGCTTTGAACGTAGTGTGTGTATCAGGTTGGGACATAATTTTATTCCAATTCCCCTTATTTTAGTTCTGTTAAGAATTTGAATTCTAGCCAAGTGCCTTCTGTAGTATTTGTATCTGAAATTAGGGTTGAACCTTAACCTGGTACACATACTATGTTCCGATGTCTGGCATCTTGATTCACGTACTACACGAGTACCATGACACCTACATTATTTTAGTTTAAATTGTTGACTTTCTCATTTGTGTAAATAATTTTTGGTGAATTATTTATGCTTCAGATCACTCAAAAAAATATCTACTTACTGGTACGTATCAAACCAAAATTATATATATATATAAATGTTTCTTGTTTTTAGAGAAAATACAGGAAGATCGTGATGAACTCTTCTTGTTGAGCATGGCTCACGAGGTTAAGACGATGAGATGAGTGTGGAAAAAAGATGGAGGTTCAAAGTTGGAGTCATGAATCTCATTAATGAAATTAAATACTCTATTGAATAAACTATTGATATTACTTAAATATAAATTTTCCTGAATATTTTTTTTGTTTTAAATCTTGCCAACTAGATATCATTGCTCAGTAGCTTTCGTACATCCCTGTAAGTGCTAACCCAATAGTGTACCTAAAATGTCAACCAGTCTGGTGATTTACCCTCGTATTTGCTATTATCTCCACTGCGGCAACATATATAAAAACAAGATGAAAGATTCCGCTAACCAAGTCGGAAGCAAAATTTTTTTTATGTAGAAAAGGTGAAACGAAGCAATAAAACCAAAAAATGATAGGGGGGATAGTGCATTTAGATCATATTTCGACCACTCGAGAACACATATTTATCCTGCCATGGCAGTGCCCCTTTCTCACTAACAAAATATTCGCTGAATTGTTCTCTAACTTTTCCTGCCTCCTTCGCACTCGGCCTTCCAATCTTCCTGATATTTAACATTGCTGAATTTTCTTCGGCCTTCCACTGCACTGCACCTTCACTGACCTCGTGATCTACGAAATCCGCCTCAAAATAATTAGAATCATATCTAAGAAAGTTGTGAAGGACTGTGCATGCTTTAATGATATGGTCTGTTCTGGCTGGTGATACGCATATAGGCCTGCGGAAAATTCTGAATCGAGATACCATAATGCCAAAGGCATTCTCCACAACCCTGCGAGCTCTCGAGAGGCGATAGTTGAAAATACGGGACCTTCTTGATAATCCGGTACCTGGAAAAGGACGCATCAAATTGGTTTTTAAGGGAAAAGCCTCGTCACCAAGAAAAACGTGTGGTAGTGGCTCTATCATCCCTTCCAATATGGTGCTTTTTGGCAGGTCTAATGAACCATCCAGGAGTTTTTTTCCAAAAGATGATGAAGCAAAAACATTCCCATCACTCTGCCGTCTATACGCTCCAACATCCACGTAAATAAATCTGTACTTTGCGTCTGAAACTGCAAGCAGTACCAGACTGAAAGTTTTTTTATAGTTGAAAAATGATGAACCACTGTTTGCAGGAGCTTGTATGACAACATGTTTCCCATCAATACTTCCAACACAGTTTGGAAATTGCCATAATTGTTTAAAATCGTTTGCAATAATCTTCCACTGATTTTCACTTGGGACTGCCATGAACACAGGCTGCAGGGAATCCCATATTGCAGCGCAGGTTTCTGGAATAATTCGCGATATGGTCGTTTTATGAATCCTGTAAGAGAACCCGATGATCTGATATGAATCCCCCGTCACCAAATATCTGAAAAATATATAATGTTGTATTTAGCGATAAACTACCATATGTAGACTAACGTTAGGTACTGTTCATTTATATTTTAATCAATCAATCACGATTTCACTCATACTGTGGGTTAAAACCCTATTTCAAAATACCTCAAAGTGACTGCAAGTCGTTCCTCAGGCGGAATTGGTTCACGCATATTTGTAGTTTGTTTCACAATCTTGCTCTCTATCATATTCAAAAGACGGTCAAATGTAGATGGTGTCATGTGGAAGTACTGTTTAAAATAGGCTTCTCTTTCCATTCTCATCTCCCTAACCAATCTGTAGTATTCTCCTGAAATTAGAGGCAAAGAAGGTGAGTATAGGCTTCGTGAGACTGAGACGTATGCATTTAGTGTATTGTAAAAAAAAATTACCATGTTCCTTTCGTCTGCAAAGTATTGGGTGCATCCACAATCTCTTGCCGACACATCGCTCATCCTCTTTTAATCTAATACAGAGAACCACAAACAATAACTTCAGCTGATGTCCGTACAAGTACTGCTTGTAGCGCCGTGACCGAAAACGACTTATTCTTCTTCGCGATACGATACCCATTTTAATAAAATTAATCTTGCAACGATCCCCAAAATATCCAAAACAGAAATAATACAAAAGACGAAGGACAAGTCCGTTTCCCGCCTGACCTCACGTCACAGTACACTGCGCAGAACTGTGGTTCCGTGCACACTGCACAGTGAGAAGAGTCGCTGTGCGGTGAGTTAAGGTGCGTTTACACTGGATGCGTCGCGGCGCGGCTTTTGGTCGCGCGGGGCAGGTGTTTACATAGCGCGCGTCATTTCTCCACCACTCAAGGACGCTAGAGGCGGTTGCTTAGGAACATTGACGCGGGAAATTCAGCTAGAATTTCGTCTGCTTCCCACTCCGCTACAAAATTTACAAATATGCCATTTTCGAAAAGGAAAAGATTGGCAATCGCCCTTTATTTGGCGAACAATACGGAGCAAAAGCAAAGGGAACATTGGGTTCATCCCATATTAAAAAGAAGGAAAGAGCTTGGTAAGTTCAAATCATCGCCCTATGAAACTGCGTGGTCTTTCCTCAAAATACTAATATAAGATTAATTAATCATAGGCTATCTTATACTGTTTTCTTCATCTACCTGTGTATTGAACAGACGGTAGAGCTTGAAGTTGAATAAACATTTATCTTTCATTTAATAATACTTCCTACGCAGGTGAGTACCATAGACTTGTCCAAGAAATGAGACTTGAAAGAACGGTTGCATTTCGTAACCAATACCGCCTGGACCCTGGTATGTTTGATGACCTGAGGAGTCTAGTGGCTCCTTACATAACTAAAACCACGACTAATTTCCGAGAACCTATATCTCCTGAAGAGAGGCTTGAAATAACATTAAGATGAGCAATTACTGTATATTCAAACCATGTAGCAAAATGTATGTGGAAGAAAATATTCAAATTATAACACATCCACATAGAACTATTAAAAACAAAATAAACATAACATCAAATAAAAGTGCACATATATCATATTTTTAGCAACAGGGGATTCTTATACCACAATAGCAGATTCATATAGGACATCGAAATCAACAGTTTCATAGTTACAGAAACTTGTGAGGCAATTTGGACATCACTCAAAAAAGAATATTTAAGCCCGCCAACAGTTACAAAATGGAAGCAAATCGCTGAAGAGTATGAGAAAAAGTGGAATTTCCCACATTGCATAGGGAGCATAGATAGGAAACATATACAAATTCAAGCACCGGTGAATTCAGGGTCCCTTTATTACAATTACAAGCACACCTTCAGCATTGTGCTAATGGCCCTTGTCGACGCCAATTATAATTTTGTTTTTGTCGATGTGGGAGCTTACGGAAAGCAGAGTGATGGAAGTGTTTTCTCCCACTCTGCTCTCGGTAAGCTCATGAATGAAGGGGCCCTGAATTTGCCGGATGAAACAACACTTACTAACAGCTCAAAAAAGGCTCCCTATGTGATAGTGGGGGATGAAGTCTTCCCACTACAGAAGCACCTGATGAGACCATACCCGGGGCGAAATTTGCCAATTGATGAAAAAGTTTTCAACTATAGGCTATCCAGGGCAAGGCGAGTAGTAGAAAATGCATTCGGTATAATGAGTGCGAAGTGGAGAGTTTTTAGGAGGCCCATGGGTGTGTCGCCACAAAACGCAGAGTTGGTTGTGAAGGCAGCATGTTGTTTGCATAATTATGTAAGACGCCATACACTGATAGATGCAGGTGAAGTGGATAGGGAAGACCTGGAGGGAAACATAACAAGAGGAAGTTGGCGGGTACAAGAGGATAACAGTTTTTTGCCCCTGCAAAGGCAAGGTCGCAGAAATAGTGTAGCGGCGGCGGCTGTTCGCGACAGCTTTAAAAATTATTTCATGGTTGATGGAGCTTGCCCCTGGCAATTTCAAAGAGTCAGAAGGACATGAAAAGTTCCTTTTATCTAGCTTAGTGGTTACCATCGAAAAAACATATTACTGAATGAGAGATTTTTCATTTGACACGCTACACTAAAATATTTCAAGCTGTAATCAATTTGGAAAATAATCCAAAATTTTCATCAAAGAATATTTGAAAATAAACGTAATTGAAAAAAGAATTTGTGCTTGATAAAAGAAAATAAACAGCAGCAGAATGATGAAAATCATGCAAATACTCCATGAAGCTGTAATGAGAAATAGCCAGAATGAAAAAGCATACTGCCTGAACAAATAATAAAATGGTTGAGGTAAACTAACAATAAAAAACATTAAAATTTTTTAGAAAATTGAGTTCTTGTTTAGAGAAGGTTGCTCAAGTTTGTACGGAGTCAATTAAATTTAGTAATGTACTGTAATTAAGATAAAAAAACGTTTGAATTTATTTTCTAATTTTTAAGTGGGAAATTGAATTTGAATCATTTCTCAAATTCAGCCTCATGGAGTAATTGCATGATTTTCATCTTTGTTGATGAAGCACGCTCAGGAGACAGTCTTTTCAGCTGGGGTAGAAGTGAAAGAAGGAAGAATTTGTCTGGATCATCTACAAATAAATATATATAGTATCAATATTGGACACGTAGTGGACATAGTGAACGTTTTGTTGTTCTTAGACTTAGTCTTGTTCTTCTTTGACACGTTCAGAAGAAATCGCTTTTCTCTTTGGTTACTGGACCAATTGTTTTGAAATTTTCATTGGTTAAAGATAAAATTTTTCCCCAGAAGGCTATTATTTTTTTTCGCCAAATATTTGAGCATACCGTATATACTCGCCTATAGAGGACTTGCACGGGTCACGTGACATTGTTACTGGACGGCAATAAAACAAAAACGTCCATTTGGCTCCTGTCAGTTGCAAGTCGGATTATACGTTTGCGTTTCGTTTGGCTGTTGAAAATGGTTATTTCGTTGTTCTGTTGGCTGTACGTATAGTATAGACAACGAAATGGATCTTCAGTAATATTCCACTGATTTCAAAAGATCCTGAACGTCGCGCAATGTGGATATCATCTATTGCCTATTGGCAGAACTGCTTGGTGTCAAGTCCAGAAGCCATCTTACTTGTGTTTCACTGTTTGCGGACAGCACTTCGTTGATGGTGAGTGATAGTGTGCCGTTATCAATTTCTTTAAATATTCACAAGCTCCCTCATTCAATGGAAAGCAGATGACAAATTACTGTTATCAGTGGGCCTAGTTGCAGACTTGACTTGTGTAAGACAGTAAGGAATTAATAATCTAATAATCAACTACTGTTATTAGTAGGCCTAGGCCTAGTTGCAGACTTGACTTGTGTAAGACAGTAAGGAATTATTCTAATAATCAACTACTGTTATTAGTAGGCCTAGGCGTGGGCCTACTTACAGTTGCAGACTTGACTTGTGTAAGACAGTAAGGAATTAATAATCAATTGCTGTAAGGTATTGTTTCCCTAATTAGCAGGTAATCTATTACTAAGTGTGGAAGGTTGAATAGATAACTAAAGTTTAACACCAGTGGTCATGCAAAAAATAACCAGAATTCAATTGAATTCGCCATCTAGGAATACGCTCGCCACCGCATCTCTGATCATCCTGGTAGTTTCACAGGTTTCAATCCCATGCGGGGATAGTTATGTGATAGAGGATTGCAGTTCTACTCCCACCGAGGGTGGTTCACATGACCGCTGATCGGTTACGACCATTCCCCACCATCCAAGTCCATGCTTTTGAAAACAAATAACTGGCTCCCCCCAGATAAATCTTATCCTAATGGTGCTTGTACAACTGATTCAAAATGTCTTTTTATTGTCATTGGTAAAAAAGATATGCTACCCGGAATCAAATTCATTCACGACTAGTGGCTGTGGTGGGATACGGATATAAATTTCACACTCCTTGATCGTTAGATTTTATGAAAACTCTTATCTGTATCCATTATCTTACAGATATGGGTGCGACCATGGAATAGATGGATGGCAAAGTATAAGTTGCAACAAGACCACAGTAGCACAAGACCTCAGCTTGCGTGACTTAATAAATACATCCTCAGTAGGCCTATCCATTTATTGATGCTTATCGTAATGACAAAGTAACTTGTCATTACTGTGGATTGGTGGAGATAAAGTGTCCATTGTGCTTTAACGAAATCAACTTCAAGACGACCCTATCAAGAAAAAAAAATTGTTTCGGTGGGTCTGGTCGTGTAGGTTTCAGTCTAACGTTGGACACCGATACTACAACCAGATACAGTTGCCAATGAAACTTAAGCGAGGCATAATATTGCGACTTTGTGATCTGAAAGGAAATTCTGATGGGTAGCCGGCTAGCCGCAACCTTTTGTTTAAAGAATATTACGAGATACGACGTAAGAGTCTAAACTTTTATTTGAGAGGGGTGTAGCCCAAGCTAATTTGCAAATAGTATTCATGGTACCAAATGTATCACACACTTTACAGTAATTATAAATTATATTTGAAAAATAAAGCACATCAAAAATGTATTTTTAAAAAACAATTGGTTTTATCTGCAGATACTAGGTTGATATTGAGATTGACCATTTCAATGCTACATTTTCTTTAGTCAAAAGGCACACTTGATTCGCAAAAATTTGTGAATGCGCACAGTACACCAATTTGTCTAATGTTTTGATTCCATAGGCAGGAGGTTGTGGATCGGTGCTGCTCGGGATAGGATATTTTTGCCTCTAAATGCATATTACGTGTTTCACATGAATCCATCGTGCTCAGATTCGACTGTTTTCAAGGTCTGAAGGCTCCAACAGCCTTATTTTATGGGTACACAAGAGAATTTTCAGTGTGACATGCATGGGTCAGTTGGACTCACTAACCTCAAGATATCTATAAGCAAGGATAAGATAACCTGGAAGTAACATTCCATAATTTAGAGTAAAAAATGTATCTGCCTCCACAGCCCTTTCGAATGGAAGATATGA